GTGTAAAAAGGGAAATTTATATATAGCTCACGGCAGTTTTAAATATTTACAGTGTTGGCAAATGTTAAGATAGTTTGAATTTGGCAGTGTTGGCTAACGCACAATATTTTAGTCAACAGCACTGAAATCTAGCTGAATTCAGCTTCTGGTACTTTATCTTCAAATTAAGTGTTGGAAAACTACGACTAATCTTGGTGTTAAATTTCTCACTGAGCTTTATTTGAATAACAGAGCGGCCGAGATTAGAGACACACCTGAACGTATTGGGATCAATTTTGACCACTTTCACATCCGGATCGGGACTAACGACAAATTCCTTGCAGCGCGAATTGTAGCTCCAGAGATCGCCCAGCGAACGCGCCACAGCCAGAAAGGGTATATCATCGACGAGGGTGCGTCGCTTGATGGGTCCGCGATGCATTGGATCGCGCGGACGATTCCAGACGACGCGCGGCACACCTGACTTGATGGCCACCTGGCCGCCGGAGCGCTGAATGCGCGCCTTCTCCGCCTGCGATTCGGGCTTGTGATCTGTTGTCAATTGTTTGGCGCGCCAGCGGCGCTCGCCAGGATTCTGATAGCCGAGCACAATACCCGAATCGCCAACATGTCCAATGTAGATCTTCTCGCGGCGCATAAAAGCGACTGTTGCTGTGGTGCCGGCGGTGCTCAAATGCCCGTTAGCTGTGCGCGGCCACTTTTCTATAAATAAGAAGGCAAAACGCCAGAAATTAAATTCAAATTCAATTTCGATAACGATTATATCGATAAATTCTGCAAACGTATTTTAACTTATTCATATTCGCATTGTAGATTTAACTACATTGTTAAACTTTAAAATTATCCATCTTTCTTTTCTCTTGATTTAATTGCTAGCTTCAATTGTTTTTTATTTGTGACGTCGCAGCAGCAACAATTTTTATATAAACCTTTCCAATTGTGCACACTTGCTGCGCTGCTAATCTGCTTTTGTGTGTATTGCCGACTCGCTCTAGCGCACGCTCAATTATGAACGCACACAGCGGGGTTGCCAGCGTACGTCACTTTCGTGAGCAGATGGCAAGCCTATGGAATATTCCACTCAGAGAGTGGCAAGCCAATCGATAAGCGATTATTATAATACACGGACACACATATATAGTTGACTCGCTCACTCACCTTGCTCTCGCCACATGGCAAAGTGTGTGCTAATGTAACCTTCGCGTATCGCACGCAACACATCCTCATCGTTATCGGACCAGAACAGCTTTTGCTTCACAATCTCCAGCATTAGGTGCTCCTTGGCAAAGAGCGCTGCCTCCGTGCCGCCGTGTCCGTCGTAGATGCCAAAGAATGCGTATTCCAGCTCGTGTGTCAGTGGCGACTCTTGATATGCTACCGAGAATTGATCCTCCATATATTTGCGACCGCCCTGGCTGCACTGTCCGGTCACACGCATATTTACGCCCAATGTGGGCGTGGTGCTGGCAGTAGTTCTCTCTTTGCTGCGCTGCCGGCTGCTGACATTGCCGCTGCCTTTGGTGCGCATCGGTGTCGCTGCTGCAGAGCTACCGCTGCTGCTGCTGCTACTGCTGTTGCTCGAAGTTTCTGTTGTGGGCGTGACCAGTGGAGTCTCTGCTGATCTTGGGTGAACAACAACGTCGAGCAATGTATTGTTATTGTTGTTATTACTGACTCGGGAGCAGCGCTGCTCAGAGACTGAAGCCACTGAAGCGGCCGATGCCGCTGTTGCTGCGTCCGGATTCACATTTGGACTGGCATCTGTATAGTAATTAATAACATCATATTCCACATGGGCAACATCCTGTTCTGTTTCCATTGGAAGTGTGTTTATTGTTGTTGTTGCTGCTGTCTGCATGCTGGGAAGCATTTTTGCATTTAGAGGGGAGGGAGAGGGAAAGAAGATTGGGGCTGGTCGTAGCCGGCGCCTGTTTTGTACTTGTTTTGGTTTTGTTTATGTTGCTGCTTCTTCTTGATAACTTAGCTGCTGCCGCCGTTGTTGTTGTTGTTGTTTTTACTGTTCTCGTTGCTGTTGTTGCTTTTGTCTTTCACAGCAGTGTTGTAATTTCATGTGACATTTGGCACTCGCACTCCCAATATTGACTGCTATCGTTGCCGTCTCACTCTCACGTTACTTGGTCGCACCATGTGTGTGAGCGGGCGCACTACTCTCTGGCTCTTTGTTTGTCTACGCTGGACGACAGGCATGCAAGTGTGTGTGTATATATGTGTGAGTGAGTTTTATAGTATTTACGTTGATGGTTCTGTGTTTGTGTGTGATTGCTTGCCTTCTTCTTTCTATTTTTTGTTGGTATTTTGATTTTTGTATTGGAAACCGCCGCCAATTTTTACTGTCTTCTGCTGCTTGTGTTTCTTTCTTTCACTTCATTTGCGTTAATTTTTTCTTTTTCTTCTGAACTTGTATAAACTTATGGGAAATTGTATGCAGTCAATGCCAGTTGCAGTTTCACCTTGATGGAAAATCAGATTATGCGCGCGCTTTGCGAACACAAACAAAACTCGTTTCCAGCCTCTTTTCAAATCTTACAGTCTTTGCGTTGCTGCAATTTGTTTTCGTTGTTGTTAATGTTAAAACCGTTGCTGCAGAGCTCTTTCTTTCTAAATCTGCTATTTTTGTTAGTGTCGAGCATTTTCATCAGAATATTTTCGAAATAATCACGTACACACGCACACAACGGCAAATTGTTAATAACACAAAAACGAAATCAAATAGAAAGCAAGCGAACGAACGAACAGAGAGCAGCAGAGTTGTAGCAGTAGCGTAAGTTTGACGGGGAAAAAACAACTGAACAGCGCGCTGCGACTTGTTTGTGCTGCCAACTCACAAAATAAGCGGGCGCTAAACAAGCAGCAGGGCAGGCAGGCCACTCTGGCACACAAATACATACACGCATGCTCATACGGTATATAGACATATACATACATGCATACATCCGTTCGTATGTTTGTGCGCATATATGAGAGCGTGCGAGCAAGCGAGAGAGCTAGCAGTCGGGCAATTGAGTTGATATGCTGCTGCTGCTGCCTGGGTTGCCAGACGTGCTGAGAGAAAAATTGTGAAATTGACTCTGTAGCCGCACACGCAACACAGCACAGCACAGGGTTGCGGTGAAGAGAAAAGATCCTCTGCTTATGACAGGTTTGCGTAACCCCCTAAACTAAGGTTGGCGCGTTGCTTCTAAGTTCGAAGTGCAACAATGTCAGCTGCATAAGAAACTAATTTAATTTTCGTACATAATTTAAATAATCGAAACAATAATCATTTGAAAATATACACACAGATGATGAAAATACATTCATATGTATGCACATACATACGTATATTAACGTAATAAATATTAAATAAAAATTATGTACAATACGTCCTATATGCATACATATGCATGGATCTACATACTTTTAACGTTTGATAAATCTTCAATATTAAAAAAAAATTTGTATGGCAAAAAATTTAAGTTATAGAAATATATACAAGGTAGATTTATTTAAAAAATCAAACAAAATTGCTAACCAACGGCCACACCCTGCATAAACGCAATCTGTGCACCCATCTGGCAGCCCTGAAATATTAGTCATCGGCAGCGCGCGCTCCAATGCTCTTGCATGTCGTTGCTTTGCTGGTTTTATCCCACACTCACACTCGCAGCTTATGTATGTACTTATAGCTGACACTAATAGCAGCGAGCAGCAAACAGTAGCGGTCCTGCTCGCACCTATGCTTTAAATATCGTGTAATGGCTGTAGCTCGCAACTACCGCTCGTCATCGTCAAGTTGCTTTCGCTTCAGCCATTGTAAAGGGAACAAATGAAAATTTCCAATTTTAATGTCAGGCCATGCACATATGGTAGGTATAACAATATGTAGATATGTACAAATGTCTATAGTATTGAATATACTAACAGCTAAGGATGCACTTGTTTTAAAAATAAATATTTAATGTTTATACGACATATAGACATCGCACAATTGGGCGGACGGGTGCAATAATGGAAAATCGGTCATTTGAATATGCGTTTTTTTTTTGCGCTGAGGTAGTTAGGCCGCTTAATCGGCCTAGAGGGCAACACTTGCAAGCGATAGCCGATAGCCCAAGCAACCCTAAAACTGGTGCCGTTTTTTATTGTATTATTGATATTGCTTGGGCATGTGTATGTGGAATTGCGAGTGTGAATGCCAATGATTGAATATCTTTTTCATTTCCTTAATAATAATGGTATGGTGGGGTTACATAATATGATGTATAATTTAATAATATAGGACCAAATTGTTATTCGAAAATTTGGATATTAGTAATATGGTTCCCAGTTAACTAATTAGATTGTTTATCAAATGATATTTAATTATTTTTAAAATTCGCTTTTCAGCACTGCTTTAAACGGTAGTGTTATACAACAGCCTCATTTCCAAATAACGTTCACTTTTATATGAATTTTTTGTCAGCATTTGAGCGCGAATGTGTTGAGACAAAACTTTTCTAGTTATGAGCATATCTAAAAAAGAATTTAGCATAAAATATTATCAAATAAGGAAATATATTAGTTATTCTTTACAAAATTTAGGTTTTTTTTGAATACCGCGCTCTCCACTTTTTACCGGCAAATGCAACTCTGTTGGGCTCTGCTTCACCAGTGGTGTCGCTTATAAATAAATTCGTTCGTTACTCATTGAAGGGTAACGGTTACTTGAAGGAAAATAGCTATTTTTAGTGTGTAATTTAGATTATTAAAATATATTGCACATATTTTTATGATACAAATAATATTACAAATACATTAAATGCAGTTTCAAACACAAACATCTAAATGATTACAACTATTTACTTGAAAAGTACTCGATACTCGTTACATAAAACTGTAAGTACTGTTGCCAGAAGCGGCCTGCCAGAAGCCGCCTGGCAGACGCCGCCGTCTCGTAGCCAATCAGCTACGAGCATATCGCCTACACTGAAGGCATTTGGGCTCCGTTGGCGGCTATCAGACTTAGCTGAAACAGTTTACGACAAGCAAGCAAACTGTTAACAACTCAGTGCGTTCCCAGCTCGAAGTATTTTTTTTTGTGAATTTAGTCACGACGAGTGCGCTTAGCGGTAAACACAACTTATTCATATTAACAGCTTTCAAAATTTTCGGGTGCCAAGAATATTTTTTTGACATTTTGTTAGTGCTGCTCAAGTTCTTTTTTTTTTGTTTTCTATTCCAAAGTGCAAAACACGGCGTGCCAAATTTATATTGCGTGCAAAATTGCCAAAAAGGAAATTATACACACACATAAATACACACACCGACACAGACCCACACATGCAAATAAAGGCACACATACCTACACATACACGTACATTACGTTTGATTGGCTAGGACAGATTTTTTTGCGAAATTTTTTTTCGTAGCTAAGATTATTCAAAGTTTAGCTTTAATTAGTCGACAGCTGTTGAATTAGCCACAAGGCCGCCAAAAAAAAAAAAAAAAACTTGAGGAAGACGAAAAAAACAGTACAAAGGGAACTTTTTGTCTTGGCACGCGCGCAACTCCCCAAAACCAACGACAACGACAACTTTACAACAATAACTAAGGTGAGTGAATTGTGAAAAGTTCTAAGTGAAGTTGTGCAATAAATTGACATACTTATGCATGATTGTGTGTGTACCCCAGCGTGAGATAGTGGCTAAATAGCCCGGCCGGAGCCCAGAGATGGCGCCAGCAATTGTAGATCTTGTATGGATAATACGAACAGTTCAGAAAATCAAATCAAAAAATCAAATAAATAAATAAAATAATTAAATTGATTCTCATATTGCCCTTCTATCTGTTTTGTTTATTAATTTTTTATATTTTTTATTTATTTATTTATTTATTTTTTTTTGGGCTAGATCAATGCTTCTACACTGCACAACAAAATAGGAAATCTGATTCATTGTTTGAATTCGATCTAACGACGTCTTGAATTTGATTAGCATACAAAACTCTATTGTCTGTAGTTTAAGACCGTTGACGTCATTTGTTATTTCAGATTTGTATATTTCAATTATTTATTTATTTTTCTTGCCTAATCTGTCGCTTAATTTATGAGCCTGCCTTGAGAGGTAATTATGAGACTAAAAGCTTTCTATGCAAACCAATTTCACAAGCTTGATTGGCGTGGGAGTAAGAGACGCACACACGCACACTTACACATACAAATTCAAACACACACGTTAGCTTTGAAGCTGTTGCTTGCGAGTAACGGAAACATGCTGCGCTCTGTCTCTTTCTAATGCAGTCCTGGGTTATTTAATGGAAATTTGATCTTTTGAATTGAAATTGCAAAATTGAGCAGGAGCAGTGAGAGAGAGCGAGAGAGAAAGATAGAGAATGGAAGAACGAGGGATATTGATAGAGATGAGAGGGATATTGTATTGAGTATGGTTTGTAATGAGAATATTATGTAATTTTCATGAATATATAAATTAAATATTAATATAAAGAAATTAGAAAATTAGCAATCAAAGTAATAGTAAAAATAAACAACTGTTTATCTTTAATAAGTATATATATATATATTTTTTTTTTAATTTAAAAATAAACAACTGTTTATCTTTAATAAGTATATATGTATATATTTTTAATTTAAAATGTTCTTAAATTCCCCTGATTTTATGTATGAATATATTTCGGTACATAATTTAAGATCCTATTGAAGTCCGCATTAATTGAAAAGTAGAAATCAGCGTTAGTTCAATGCAGCGCAGTAAACGGTAGCATACTTTTATGGGCTTACCCCACACACACGCACACACACACACACTCACCAACCCATACATACAGTTGTCAAGTGAATGCAATTGCACACCCCACACACATACACACACACACACACACACACGCAAAGAGTCGCCCACACGCACACAGAGCGTGTATTTATAGATCAGGTTTCGATGTCGCTCCGTTCTCTCTGTAATCAACAAGCTGTCTTCGTTTGTCCAACTGTCAATGCATTTCTAATTGAGTTAATCAGCAAAAGTTTTCTGCTCGTCGTCGTTGTCGTCTCTCTCTCTCTCTCTCTGTCACTCGATCTGTCTATCTCTTTCATTCTGTTTAATTTGGCGTCGCTCAACGTGTGGCATTGTTGCATGCTCATAATTCTGCCTCCTGCCTTTTGTTGGCTTCCTTCTGTCAGCTGCTGCTGCTGCTGCTGCATCCTCTTTGCACTTAAATGAATTTCCATGAATGCATTATAGCGAGATGGGGTTATCAGCCAATGCCCCGCCTACCTCACATCGCCCACCGCCCATTGCCTGCTATTGAGTGCAAATTTTCCTCTTTTCTATGTGGGTGTGTGGGCGTGCAGCTTTGTGGGTGTGACTGCGTCCATTCTTCACATTTTGCGGCTGACCCAGTAGCCGCCCAAGCCACCCACTTCACCCAGTCCACCCAGTCCACCCACTTTACTCACTGTTCAGTGTTCGCCTTACCAATGAGTCAGTTATTTCTCGTTAGTCAGCAAACTATTAAAAACATTTCCGCTGTTATTATTTGACATTTCCCTTTTCGTATTTAACTAGGAACACTTTTTTTTACAGCTGTTTTCCCCGTTTATTTATAAAGTTTGATTAGCGAATGGTTTTATGCTTTGTTAATACAAATAGCGAGCTCTTAGTCCAGGCACAGCCGCGAAAATGTATCAGCTTGTGCAAGAGCTGAGAATTTAGAATTGGTTTTTGTGTAGGTAGAGCTGGTACCTGGTACTCCTGGCATGAGATGATGGTATGACTAAAAAGATATTTGGTAGATTAAATCGATTGCTCTCAGCTATTCTGGAATTTTTTTTTATACCCTGAACCCATTTTCAATGGGAAATCAGGGTATAATGGTATATATAATGGTATATATAAGTATATATATTCTTGATCAGGGTGACGAGCTGAGTTGATTTGGCCCTGTCCGTCTGTCTGTCCGTCTGTCCGTCTGTCCGTATGTATGAACGCGTCGATTTCAGAAGATATAAGAGCTAGAGACTTCAAATTTTTTTTAAAATGTCCGTAATTACAGCGCGCATATCAAGTTTATCATTAAAAATCGATAACTCATCTCGATCTTTTTTTTATCGATAAAAAACCTTATCGAAACCCAGTTATAAAATTATATCTTCTACACCTTTATTGCTAGAGTCTCCAAATTTTTAATGTATGCTTATATGCAATTTATACAATTTCGGTTTTTGTTAAAATTTACCCCCCACCTCTAAATTCACCACCTCACCCTCACTTTTGTAAAAAGCGTATTTCAAATACTAGAGACTTGTTCTTTGGCAATTACATGCATATTCATGTTATAATCATAATCTAAAAGTTTCATGAAGATCGTACGTCCATAAAAAAAGTTATTAAACAATTAAGTTCTCATAGTAAGCGCACACTGCCGCCCATGCGTGTTTATGCGTGGTTGCTTGTGTGTGTATGTGTTGGTGTATGTGTGTGTGTGTGTGTGTGTGTGTGTGTGTGTATGCGTTTGTATATGTATGCGTGTGTGTGTGTATGTGTGTCTGTATGCGTGTATGTGTATGTATGCCTGTGTTTGCGTACGTGCGTGTGTGTGTGTGTGTGTGCGTGTTTCTTGTGTAAGCTGAAAGTCGCGAAAAAGTATTGAAATATCTATTGCTCCAAGGGTTCAGGGGATCTCGTAGTCGAGCAGTCTCGACTAGAGCTTTCTTACTTGTTAACTTAAAACTAGGGCCTAATAATATATTATAAATCTCTATAATATTTATAGGTTTTCTTTTATTTTGTAAAAGCTTCAATTTGAATTTCAACAGAGTTTGCAAAGAGTTCCTTAAAGTTATTTTCTAGTTAAATTTAGAGTTTTGAATTATATTTATTTCAATTTCTTTCCATATCTAAATTTTTTATTTATTTTTTTAAATTTATTTTTTTTAAGTTTTTTTTTTCTAGTTAAAGTGCAAATTTCTATTGTATTTATCAGGAATATCATACAGTATGTTCATCTGTCTCGTTTTCTGTTTAATGAGGTGTCTATTTATTTATTTATTTATTTTTGCATTGTTTAAGTTCGTTTGCAATTTGACCAGGAATGCTTATATATATTTTTAAGCTCTTTTTAGCTCTTCATTTTTACAGAGTTTATTTAAGTTTTTTTTTCAGTTAAAGCAATAATCAAAAATTCTTATATACATCTCCATTTCGTTCCATTATATCAAAATATTCTATGAGTTTTTAGTCATTTTTTCTACTTAAAGCTAGAATCAGTTATCAGTTCCATCTGTATATATTTGTTTTCTGTTATTTTCTAGTCAAAGATTGAACTCCAAGTGCAATCATTAGATATTTGCATATCCATATACACAAATCTCTCAATTTCCATAACTGCAAGAAAATCGATATATAAATATATTCCTTTCAAGTCCGAATCAGCACACACACACATACTCATATAGCTATGCCTAAGCCATTTATTATGCATAAACAATTTGATGGACATGAAATAATGCGCGTTTCTCTGGAATAATAAAAAACTAATTGAGGACAATTACAGATTTAAGATATTCAAGTGAATTTTCATTTCATTCATATCACCTGGAATAGCAAACATGAAAGACGTACAAAGTCCCTGACACATACACCCACACACACAGTCGCATACACCTGAATATATGCAGAGAAACAGATAGCGTGAATCTATAATAATAATCTGTATGAGCTTATGGAGCAGCTTTCTGTACGCTTAAAAAGAAAGAGGATATTTTTGCTTTTATATTGTGTTCCGAAAGTGGGAAAAGGTTGGGTTTTGTCCTTGCATCTGTCGAGACTTTGGATAGTTGAGTTCTTGATAAGAGGAAATATCTACCTTTTTATTTTTTAAATTTATTTATTTATTTATTTATTTTTTTTTAAATGTGTATTTTTTAAGACATATTTAAGGTAAAATTTTATAATTAATTCATTTAAAATGAAATACAATCATTCAAAAAATCATTTAATTAAATTACAATCATTTAAAATAATGCTCTATACTCATCAATGCCTCCCTATACTCTCCATTCTAACGAACTGTAATTGAATTAATTCCTGGTAATGAAATCACGACACGCTCCCATCTCTTCCATCTATCGTAAGCTCAAATCGATGAAAGTTTGCTATGCTTTTAATGTATATTTGCCAAGTGCAGTTGAGTTCCTGTTAACATGGCCTTACCGTTGCAAATCAGGCTTATAAGCTCCTCAATGTATAATGGAACGAGCCGAACAATAACTGCGCACAAGCGAAGGGAACAACAACATTATTAATAACCCACAATAACGGCATTTACAACAACAAAAGCCGTAGGAGTAACGCCAGTAGCAGCAGCAGCAACAGCAGCGGCAGAGGCAGCGGCAGCGGCAGCGGCAGCGGCAGCATAGTCTATGCAATTTACAGTTGCATTTGATTCAGTGCTCAGAATATCATTTCGCTCTTCTGGCTCTCTGGCTGGTTCCATCTCGCCTCATCTCGCTTTTGCGTGCTTTGTCCTTGGTTGCAGCAGCTGCGAAGAGTTGTTGTTGTTGTTGTTATTGCTGCTGCTGCTGGTCCTGGTGCTGCTTTGGTTGCCAAGGCCACGGTACGTGCTTTACATCGACTCTTTCACACAGCATTCGTTGCGCTTTTGGCACTGCTCTCGCTCATTGCTAATTGATGTTGGTGTGGGTCTGTGGGCGCACGAGTGAGTGAGTAAGTGAGTCAGTCAGTGAGTGAGTGAGCGAGCGTGTGAGTGAGCGAGTGAGAGACCAAATGGTGTGTGGAGGAGGGCGATTGTTGTCTTCTTTGCCTATTAATATGCGTTTTGTTCAGCCCCAGCTGCGTTTGTTGCCTCTGTTCAGAGGCTTTAGTTCAGCTCTTCTCTTTGATATTTGATTTGCAATGTTTTGTTGGAGGACTATTTGTTGTTGTTGTTGTTGTTGTTCGTGTTATTGTTGCTGGTGCCTGCTGCCTGGTGCTGCTCATAATTGAATTGCCAGCGTTACGCATTGTCGCTCACTCACAAAAGTATGCAGCAAATTTGTGCAGCTACTGCGCCTGCGTCGACCGAGTGTGCATGTGTATGCATGCATGCGTGTGCGTGTGCATGTGTGTGTGTGTGTGTGTGCATTACTTTATTAAGCAATTGATTACAATGACAGGCACTGTTGCGTGATATGTGCCTACGCCTGTCTGCTGAACCATAGAATTTATTGAATTGCACTATTCCACCTGTATCTATATCTGCCCTCAAATAAAAAATGTATGCACAACTAATAGATATTGAAAAATATTTGCATGCACAGAATGCAAATATTTGTTTTCTCTCTTTCATTACAGACGCAAAGAAGACCATATTCAAAGTGAACAAAACCCAAGCGAAACAAAACATAAATAAAGATGTCTGATCGCAAAGCTGTCATTAAGAATGCTGATATGAGCGAGGAGATGCAGCAGGATGCTGTCGACTGCGCGACACAGGCCCTCGAGAAGTACAACATCGAGAAGGTAAGTTGAGATTGATGAGGAATATATAAATAAATATATATAGATGAGATGAAACGGCTCTCAAAAATACTTGATTTCTGACGAATTTCGTCATTTATCGGTTCATATTTCCCCGTTAATTGGCCTACATAAGGGTGAACAACAGGTGTTAAGATATTATTTGATTTCTATAAAAATAAAATCCATCCTTAGTAAAAATAAAAACATGATTTTAATGAAGCTTTTACTGCATATGTAGATATATGTTTTTATTATACTGTCTATATAGATATATATATGTATATATATATATATATATATATAAATATATATATATATATATATATATATATATATATTGATATTGCTGACAGTATAGATAATATCATAAACATATATGGACAGTATAACCTCCGTAGTTCGCACTTACTAGAGTTTCATATTCATGTTCATTTACATGATTATAACCGTGCCGCGTCCACCTCATGGACCTGCCAAATAGTTCGTAGATAACAATATAATTATGTAAATGTGTGAGTAAATGGATTGAGTTACCTAGAGCTCAAATTATGCGGTTAATTAATAGTTATTGTTAGTCAATTGGCCTATTGTTGGGTTGAATGCTGAAACACTAATTAAATGAAAGATATATACACGTTTACAAGCAGGACTGTGAACGACTGGGAAATACCCGTGCTTACCAGACCAAATATGTTTAAAATAACGAAAAATCAATTTAATACTGCAAAAAGTATAAAATATCTCAAGTTTTTTCTATTTTTAACAGACTTTTAAGTCAATTCCTAGAATAATTCAATACATCTTTACAGCATAAAACATGTATAGCATAGAGTATAGTCTATTTATCCAAGAGCAAAGACTACAGCAGCACAGTGCATTTCATATTTGTTTGCATGCAGCGCATGCCACATCTTAACTCGATTTACTTGATCAAATTATGGACCTGCTGCAAATTGAATCTCGGCTACAAACGTGGCCTATAAAAGTCAAGCGTCCGGCGGATGCGGGCTATCTTTAAGGTGTCCTCGCGTTGCACTTGCTGTTAGCCTCTCTTTAATAATATGCGTATTTGTGCCATAAACGTAGATTTAGCCAATTGAAGAGTGTTGCTCGTGACATTTTTATTGAATATTTGTCGCGATTTCTGGCCCCGACGATGCACACAGAGAGGAGGAAAGAGAGAGAGAGAGAGAGGGAGAGAAAGCCCTGCCTTTGTGTTGTTGAATTTAGCTCCCAGCGACTTCTACTACATTTGACATTCTCATTTTCAAGTTGCACCGATGTCCATATATATGTATATCTGAACGTCAAAGGCGAATGGCGAGTGTTTTCCTTTGAGCTGGAAATCAATTCAATTCAATTCGCCGACTAGCTAGTGAAAATTATTGCGCAAATTCCGTTAGCTTTTAGTAGTGAGTAGAGCAAGTTGGGTGTAAGTAATTAAAAAATACTTGAAGATATTTGAAACTCTTAAAATTCAGAGGAGAATGTTGCATATACAGTTGAGTCCCGATAATTCAAAATTGCAAGGGGATCCGTTTTTTTCGATTTACAAAATTCACATTATCGAGAACAAATTAGAATAGGGAATAGAATTTTTTTTCGATTTATCGCAATTTTTGATTTATCGGGGTACAAATTCTCGAGACTCGACTATATTAGTTCACTGGATCGATTGTGGAGACTAGGTGTTAGAAGAACTCCTACTCGAATTTCCCAGATGAGCAAGATGCAGTAATATTGCCTTTTGGAAATCCAAACCTCATAATGCGTGATAATGCGATAATGATTCGCACTGTATTAGCTGCTAACAGACCAATGCATAAACTTTATCTACCTGGGGCTGCATTCCAAGTTGCAACCGCCTTCGACGTGCAGCCGCCTTCTTTGAGCTTCTTCCTGTGCATTGCCCTCGAGTGCTGCAGGGGACGTCTCGCCATTTTCCCGCTGTGAAAGCTTTTCTGCAAAGTCACAGACTTTTTCCCAAGCATCTTTGCTGTTGCATATTTGCTCTCCTATAGTCAGCGACAGTTTCCGCCATGTCTCGGTCCGCCATTCACAGTAGACGAAAGTTGTACTTTGTCAATTGTATTTTACCGGTAAACGCAGCTGGATGCGTTCGTTTTTTCCACTCTATTTGGATACCTATTGAAAGTAGCCATGACTAGAGAGAGAATGAGAGATGGTGGGTGGGGATGGTAGAGGTAGAGGTAGCCATGACTAGAGAGGGAGGGTGTGGTAGAAGTAGAAGTGGAGAGGTAGAGGTAGAGGTAGAGGTAAAGGTGGAGGTAGAGGTAGAGGTAGAGCTAGAGGTAGAGGTAGAGGGTAGAGGTAGAGGTAGATGTAGAGGTAGAGGTAGAGGTAGAGGGTAGAGGTAGAGGTAGAGGTAGAGGTAGAGGTAGAGGTAGAGGTAGAGGTAGAGGTAGAGGTAGAGGTAGAGGTAGAGGTAGTAGTGTAGTGGAGGTGGATGTAGTCATAACTAGAGAGAGAGAGTGAGAGAGGGAGGGGTGGTAGAGATAGGGGCAGAAGTAGAGGTGGAAATAGAACGGGAAGGAGATGAGACGATTTTCCACACAGTCACTGCTCTAGTTGAACATATTTTTCGCTGTCAATCTCTCGCAATTTCTCATTCTGCCACTTTTACCGACGGCACAAAAAATCCTTTGTTTTACCGGAGATCCCATGTCCCGACGAGTATGTCATCGGTACAGCAATTCCAGTCACCGTGCACCGGTAGCATCGGTTTCCGTCTGATTTCTCATGCTTCATTGTTTCACCTGTAACCGGTGAGACTGACTACATTGTGGCTTCTATTGTGGGCCTTCAACAATCAGTCCAACCTTTGTCTACAGTCAGAGGGTCTATTGAGATGAGCTAGCTGGCTAGTCTTACGATAGTCAAATACTCTAGAGTTTACTATCTTGATGGAAACTTAGACCAAGTCTGAGTGGGTTAAGTCTAGGTTAAGTCTTGCTTGAGTCGAGTTGATATTCCCCATATTATCTGCATATCGAGTTAGGAAATTATTTTCAGTTAACTGAGGCTTCAGAGGTCTAGTTCCATGTCAGCTCCTCCGGCGTGTCTATATATCCTGTACAGGATTTCGCTTTCCCGCATGCTTATTAAATATTCTGATGTACCCAAACGGGGCCAAAGGCAGGGGAAATTGAACATGTTGGCAACCTGATAGACTGCTAATAACAATGCAAAAGGAAATTGATTTAATTGTGTGGGAGAGGAAGCAGAAAGAAAGAGAGAGTGAGGAGGGAAGGGGGGGGTAGGAGAGAAAAGAGTAGAATTTGAAATTGAAATTGAATGTAAGTCGAGTCGATGCAGTGTCCTTTGACGTGATTTGCAGTAAACTGATTACGCGAATGGCATTAAATGGCCGACATTGAGGTCGACTGCTTCAGCTGGCCATCGGCGGGGTCTGGCGTTGTTGGCCGTGGCCAAGGGCAGGACTTAATATAAGCCTGAGCCGGATGGACTGGCGGACAGATGGACGGACGGCTAGCAACAGCGGCGCAATGTCAACAAGCAATAGAATAATAATAACAGCTAAAACGAAGCAATGGAAATAATCAATAGACGCGCGCTAAAGGCAGCCACTGGGGCATCTATCGATGCTTCCCCAATACCTTTCCCTTCTCACCCCCGTCCAGTTGGCTCTGGTCAGTTGGCTGTCCGTAGCGGAGCTATGGGTGTCAGAGCCTCTGTCAATGCCAATGGCAGGTGCCAATGTGAGGCCTTGAGAGAGCACAGCAAAATGCGAGAAAGACACCGAGAGAAAATCACGGCAAATAAGCGAGGGTGTTATCTCTCTCTCCCTTTCTCTATCTCACTCTCTCTCTCTCAGCTCAGTGGGGGGCATAAATGTGGGTACGCGTCGTTTGCTAATTGAGTAGTTAAAAGGAAAAAAATAGAAGCAAGAAAAAACATCATTGAAACGCTCGCGCCGCTGCCGGAAAGTATGCTACAAATTTTTCACTGCCGCTTACAAAGTTGACAGAGTGTGTGGCTGCGTCCCCCTCGTGTGTGTGTGTGTGTGTTTGCCTGTCTGCCTGTGTTAGTGCAGAGGCGCACGCATAGCTACCACGCCCCAATTGCCCATGCATTGGCCCACTGCCGCCTGCCCCTCGTTGCTATAAATAAAATATATGCCATGAAAAACACATATACACACAAACATTTACACACACACATACACAGCGCACGCACACAGTGGCAGACAGTAATTCAAATACATATAAAAGACATAAAGCAAAGTGTGTGTGTGTGTGTGCGTTCACAAAAAGTGGGATTGATTGGCTTTGCTTTGCTGTTGCTGTTGTTGTTGTTGTTGTTGCCAGTTTGTTGTTCTTATTGTCTGATAATATTAATAATAGTGTCATTATGAATACTGTGAAATATGTGTGCGTGTGTGGGTAAATATGTGCGTGCAGCGCGTGTATGTGTGAGTGGGTGTGTGTCTGTATTTCCATTAAAGCCGTATTAGATTCAACAAGCTTTAAGCTCAAAATTAGCTTAGGAGCCCAATAATGTGAATAAAGCATATAATGTAATATATAAAATATATGCAAATGTATACACAGTCGAGTCTCGATAATTCGTAATGGCAAGGGAACCGAATTTTTGTACGAATTATAGAGGTTTTCGGTTTAGCGGGGTACGAATTATCGAGACTCGACTGTATATGTATAGAGAGATAGAGATATTCTTATAAATTAGTTGTTCATTAATATGTTGTAGTAGTACATATATATATTTTTGTTAATAAGGTTCTAATCTGTACATCATAATTAACTACGTTAGCAGCACATTGATGGGTAATTTAAAAACCCTTTGTGCAGCATGAGGATTGCATATCAAGATAGCCTTACTCACGTACAATCCTCTTGGCAAAACCTTGTCGTTCAGGTCGGGCAGGGCGTAAAGCTCCTGCGAGCAGGCTGCGGCAATCTCAGCCATCTTAGGCTTTATCTGCTTGTATGTCATCTTGC